GCCAGCTTCGGCCGGCATGGCGGCTGCCCCTGGCGGCATGGCGGCTGCCCCTGGCGGCATGGCGGCTGCCCCTGGCGGCATGGCGGCTGCCCCTGGCGGCATGGCGGCTGCCCCTGGCGGCATGGCGGCTGCCCGCCCCAGCGCGCTGCCAGCGCCTGCCGGCGGGCTGCCCGCACCGCCACAGCGCGGCGCCCCGACGGTGCCGCCGCCGGCTGGAATGGCCCGCTCCCCCGACGTTGCCGCGCCTCCCACCGCCAGAACAGGAGCTGCTCCCGCTGGCATGGGAGTGCCGCCGCAGGGCGCGGCCGGAGGACTGCCCGGCATGAGCGGCCCGCCTTTGGGAAGTGGCGGTGCGGCGGCACCGCTAGGCGCGACCCCTCCTTCGGGCCGCCCCACGCCAGGGCCCGCTGGCGCCGGCCCGGCTGCCGGCTTGCCGTCGCCGCCGACGCAGCGACCGATGCCGGCGCCGCCGGGCGGTCTGCCGACGCCGCCTGGAAGCGGCGCGGCGACGCAAGGTGGCCGCCCGGTGCTGCGTGAGTGAACTAGCCACTTATTAAGGACTGCTTGGCACTCACTACAGGCGGCGGCGGATCCCCGCTCCCTGCACCCGCTGGCGGGCAACCACCGCTTCCCGCCCCCGGCAGCACGCCCGCCCCCGGCGGCGCGCTTGTCCCCGCGATGGCGCCGCCGAAGGGGCCTGCTCCGGCGGGGATGGCGCCGCCGAAGGGGCCAGCTCCGGCGGGGATGGCGCCGCCGAAGGGGCCAGCTCCGGCGGGGATGGCGCCGCCGAAGGGGCCTGCTCCGGCGGGGATGGCGCCAGCTCCGGCGGGGATGGCGCCGCCGAAGGGGCCAGCTCCGGCGGGGATGGCGCCGCCGAAGGGGCCTGCTCCGGCGGGGATGGCGCCGCCGAAGGGGCCAGCTCCGGCGGGGATGGCGCCGCCGAAGGGGCCAGCTCCGGCGGGGATGGCGCCGCCGAAGGGGCCTGCTCCGGCGGGGATGGCGCCGCCGAAGGGGCCAGCTCCGGCGGGGATGGCGCCGCCGAAGGGGCCTCCCCCCAGCGGCGTCGCGCCCGCCCCGGCCTCGGCCAACACGGCGGCGGCAGCCGGCGAGACGGCGGAGGCGGTGGCGAAGCGCGCCTTCCTCGCCCGCAGCGATTCGAGCTCCGGGCCGCCGAAAGGGGTGCCGCCGCCGGCCGGCCATCCTAGCGCGGCTGCGCCAGGGCAGGGCGCGCCGCCGTCCGAGTTTGCGTCCGAGCGCCTAGATGGGGAGAGATGGGGAGAGCGCGTAGTCCTTGTCGTCCAACGATCACTCGAGAGCACTCGAGAGAGGACACGTGTGCCGCTGTGTGCAGCCGTGGTCAAGCCGTGCTCACTGCAGTCGTCAGCGCACGGCGCGAGACCGCACTCACGCGCTGAACTTGGTGCACTCACGGCACCCGGGCCGGTGCTTGCACTTTGAATGCCGTGGGGCTCCTCCCCGTGTCCGGGCGTGGAGATGACTTTGTGTGGTGTGTGCAGACGTTTACCTGACCTGTACCGTAGGTTCGACTCGCTCTCCGACGACCAGGTGCGGCAGCTGTGCATGAGTGGCGACGCGCAGGACATGAGCTACGCCATGGACGAGATGACCCGCCGGAACGACCTGAGGGGCAGCCAGGGGACGAGCATCCCCACCGGCCGCCGCGTCTCGATGCAGGGGCTGCAGGCGTTGTTCGAGGCAGGAATGGCGCCCTAGCCAGACCTGGTGGCCGAATGTACATGTGGAGTATTCCGAGGGAGAACGAGGAGCAGAGATGAGAAGAAAGAGATAGCGTGATGCCCGAGTGCCGAGTGGTAAAATGCAACTTTGGCATTCCGCACGGCGGCTTGCCGGCGCGCTCAACGACAGCACGTTCCGCGCGGCGAGGCGCCAGGCTCGTGCGACGCGGCGGACCGCCAGCACCGCGCCGATCGGCAGAAGAGCGATGTCCGATGACGGCCTCCAGCGGGTCGCCCTCGAGAATAGTGGGGGAAATGGTAAATTTTGAAAGTCGCACTACAAGCCCGGCAAGCTCAGCACTGACTGTGGACACTATGGGGAGTCTATAGCTATGCCCCTTACATCCAGGGACCGACCACACGAGGGCCCACACCCGTCTCAAGACAGACAAATTTCGGTCACCGGCGCGCGCGCGGCGCCTCCTCCTCCTCCTCCTCTTCAATGAGCGGCGTGCGGGGCGGGCCGGTGGCGCCCAGCTCGCGGGGATCGAGCCGCCACCCATACGAGACGGGTTTGTTCCACTTCTCGGGAAGAAAGGCGATCCATCTCTCCCCCGCCGGCTCGTCGTACTCGGGGTCGGCGTCCCACGCCCAGAGCAGCATGCCGGCCGGGAGGATCTTGCGTGCGCGCGGGCTCCTCTTGTCGGTGAGGCCGTCCGCGACGCGCTTCACCCTACCCTCCTCCTTGTATGGCCAGCACACCTCGAGCCACTTGCCCACGAGTCGCGTGTCGAAGGGGGGGGCTTCGCGGTCCTGCCGCACCTCGACGCTGTCTGAGATGCCCGCCGCCTCGCGCAGCTCCCGCGCGACCTTCGCCTTCGGGAGGAGGTTCGAGACGTTGAAGATGCTCTGCTGCTCCAGGCGCAGCACGTCCGCGTCGGCGGTGCCCAGGGTCTTGATCGAGCGGACCCGCAGCTGAGGAGGCGCCGCCTATGGGGAGCAACACGTCGAGTGAGACGGGGAAGCGCTCATCTCAGAGCGGAGCGCGGGCGGCGCGCCTCGGTCGGGAGCTTATTGAGCCGCCGCAGCTGGATCTCGTGGGGCAAGATGTCGTCGAGCAGCATGCGCTTGAGGTCCTCGATCTTGTGCGAGCGCTCGTCGGAGAAGAAGCCCCACTTGGTCTCGAACTGCGTCATGCCGCAGCCGACCGTCCGCATCTCGATCTGGCGGCGCATGTGCAAGGTGCTTGGCAGCACTTGGTAGCTTGAGGCGTGTCTCACAGCCCTGGCCGTGAAGCGCCCCCGCCCCGGCCTCCGGCGACCCGACGGCCGCCTCCGCGGCGGCGGCGCCCTGCGCGTCCAGCTGCAGCTCGATCGCCAGGGCCAAGCAGTCCGGGCCCTGAGGCCCCCGAGCAGTGCAAACATCCATCGCTTCCATGCCTCGAGGAGCGATCTACCGGTTCCTCACCCGTCATCCTGACGCCGAACGAAAACACCGTCGGATCGCCTCGAGATCCAGTTTGGGTTTGGGGCTTGGAAAATGAATGTTTTAGTGGACCATTTCCCCCACTATCGAGAAGCACACGGGGTCATTAATTGCCTCAATCGAAGCACGAAGCCTCCATGGTACAGCTTGGGCGATTGCACAGCGGGCGCGGGGTGGAAGCTTGGGTAAACGGGCTTGAAGCCAGCGCCCCCAGCGCGTACTCGAATGCCGCCGGGATTTCTTTTTCAGGGCGTTTGCGTCAAGCCCGCCGCTTGTTGGACAAAATCAGCTGGCTCAAAATGCCGAAAACCGCGCCAATCGTCACCGCCAACGAGGTGGTGGGCAAAGCCGGCGACGAGTGGCCTTCTTCGGCTCCCGATCAAGAGGCTCCCAAGCCCGGGCGCTCGGCGTTTTGGTGGGAAGCCCGGCCGCTGCCCGCGCAGCGAGGCTCCCGTCCGCGCATCGTTCTGGTGGCCGTCGTTATGATTGGCGTCTTCTCTTTCCTCATGTACAGCGTGTTCCGAGATGCCCCTCGGGAGGGAAGGCAGTTCCCGCTGTGCCCGCATGACCTGTCCAGCGTGCAGGCCGGCACGAGCTGCACTGTGGCGTGGTCAGCGCTGCGCACCAAGGTTCACCCGACCCAAGTCAGCGTTGGCTACGTATGGGCACTTAAGCATAAGGTGGAGAAGATGTACTCGGAGGAGTCGGCGCAAGAGAGGATGGACGGGAAGCACATCCCGTGCATCAAGCGCGGCAGCGAGCTCTACTTCTCCGACGGACACCATACGCTCTCTGCCCTCGATTCTTCCGGCTTCTGGCACCTTGCAGCACGCGACGCTGTGCCACGATTCACTGTATTGCTCACTCGTCCGAGTATTGCGTAGGGCGACGGAGGTTACCATCGTCGTCCTCTGCGACCTGACTGCGCTCAGCGTCGCCGATTTTTGGGCGACGATGGGTGAGAAGGGATTCGCCTACCTTTACGGCCGCCCCTCTGGGCCGTGGACATCACTGCCGGAGCCACTCGCTTTCAGCGCGCTGCCCTCCCTCGTCGTCTTCAACAACCACGAGCCGCCGAGCTTCACGGATGACCCGTGGCGCGCGCTTTCCGGCGCATCGCGAAAGATCTCGAACCAGAAGTCCTGCAAGGCGGCCGCATCAAACACAAAGTACTGCATGCGCGCCTATGACCGCGTCTGCAACGCCGAAAAGGGAAACAGCAGCATCTTCTTCTTCGAGTACTACTGGGCGCCCGCCGCCCTAGTACCGCCCCATACGCCCGTCTGTGCATCGCCCACACACCGCCTCTCCTCTGCCGTGACCCGTGTCGCTGTGTGCGTCTTTCAGGGCTACTTTTGGAACGCCGCGTGGCTGGACCCGTCGCTGTGGGAGACGGACCTGACCAACCGCTCCGACTACGACGCCTTCGCCGCCTCCGTCGCCTCGCTGCCGCAGGTGAGGCCCGACACACCCGGCCTGTCGACGGCGGACATCGAGGAGGCGATCAAGCTCTGGTTCGACGCAGCGGAGCAGCTCGTCCCCCTCTCCCGCTCCTTTGGAGCCCGCAACTACGTCCTGCCGGCCGGCTTCCTCGAGCGGCAGACCCTGCCCGGCCACGTGGCGGGGATGGCGCCGCTGCAGGAGAAGGACCCCAAGTGCGGACAGGCGGCGGCTAGCTGCGACGTGCCCACGCAAATTAGGGTCTAGGGGCTATAGCGGAAACGCGTCAAGCTGTCAAGCCGGCGTCAAGCCGCTCCCCCATTCGCCCCTACCGCGCTCGCGATGAGCGAGGCGCCACCTCACCGCCACGTCAGTAGAGTACACACAGAGGGACGTACGAGTGCGGGTCAGGAGGCCCTAAAACGGCGGGAGGGGTAGGGGTGCCGCTGTAGGGGTGTGGAGGGGTCGGGAGGGCGGGAGTGTGGACCGTGACCTAAAGCCCTCCACCGGCAGAGGTGTCAGGCGGCAGGCCCCAGGAGGGGTGGGGGCTGGGAGGGCTGGCCAAAAGCGAGGCGT